CCGGCATCCAGAGCACATACTACAACCTGGAGAACAGCGTGGAGCCCATCGCGCCCCACCTCTGCCTGCCCTGCCACCCCTCCTGCGCCACCTGCACAGGGCCCGGCCCCAACCAGTGCCTGACCTGCCCCGCGCACTCCCACTTCAGCAGCCTGGACCTCTCCTGCTCCCACCAGACACAGAGTAGCCGCGCGTCCCCTGCCCTGGCAGACGGCGAGGGGCTGGCCGAGGCCCCCCCTCCAGCCAACCTACCTGTCCTCATTGCCAGCCTCAGCTGTGTCTTCATTGTCGTCATCTTCATCACCGTCTTCCTGGTGCTGCAGGCGCGCTCAGGCTTCAGCCTGCGGGGCGTGAAGGTCTACGCCTTGGACAGCGGGATCATCTCCTACAAGGGGCTTCCCTCTGACATCTGGCAGGAGGAGGGTCCCTCTGAGTCGGACGGTGAGGAGTCTGAGGCCCACAGTGAGAGGACTGCCTTCATCAGAGACCAAAGTGCCCTTTGATGAGCCCTCCCGCCCCTCCCTCCTCCCTGCCCAGCACCGCAGGGCCGGGGCAGGCGAGGCTGAGGGGCCCTGGACTCTGCCCCTGTCCCCCTCCTGCACTGCAGCAGCCCGGGGCTCCCCACTCGCCCGCACCGTCCCTCAGCCCTGGCCTGGGCTGCCAGGCACGGCCCTGCCGGCACCGTCCCCAGCTCGGCACCGTCCCAGTCTTGCACCATCTCTCTTGGCTCCGCGTCCATCCTGTACCCCACACCGGGGTGTTCGATGGCAATGGGGCCCTGGCACTCGCTGGTCTTGCGCTGGCAGCCATGTCCCCTGCCCCAGGCAGCTGCTGCTTGGGGTCACGCAAGTCCCCCAGGGTGGGCAGTGTGTGGGGTCCCTGGGTTGTCATTGCTCAGGTTGGGCTGGCTGGGGTAGGGGTGGCTCTGCCCTGAGCCGAGACATGCTCTGCCCCACCAGGGCTGAGCCTAGCCCACGGCACAGCATCCCCCTGCCCCTGCTGCTCTCGGCACCCGCCGGGACTCTGCCTGCATCCCTGGCTCAGCCTGCTGTGTCCTGGCTCCCTGCCACCTCCCGAGGGCCTGTCCACCTCCACCCATGCCCTTCAACAGCAATAATGGCCAGGCCTCAGCCTCTGCTGCCTGCTGCCTGCCCGTCCCACCGTGGCTGTGGCTGCCTGCAGTGCGGACAGGAGCCCCCCTGCACTAGGGAGTGTGGGGCAGGGCAGCGCCTTCCCTTGCGCCCGAGGCTCAGCCCCCCAGCGTGGGTAGGGACCACCTTGCACAGACCCTGCTCTGTGGGGCTGCCCCAAGCCCCCTCATGTTTTGCCCCTGGGCAGGGCTGTGCGTGCTGCTGGATGGGGCAGTCGGGCAGTGCTGGTTGCCTGCACTGCCCCAGCTCTGCCTGCACCTTGCCTGTGCTGGGCAGAGCCCGGCATTCCTGCAGCCCTAGCCCCCAGCGTGCCCCTGCCCCCCGACGTGCCTTGCCCCCACTTGGTGACAATCCGTTCTGCTCCCTGCCAGAGCCCCCTCCCGGCACCGCCTGCCCTCGCTGCCCCTTCCCCGTGGGCTGGGGGCCGGTGCTGCGAGCCCTTTCACCGTCCACCGCCGCACACCAGGGCCGGGCCGCGAAAAATCCCACCCGCGTGCCAGCACCAGCCCTGGCCCGCCGTGGATGGAGCCGCCGGCCGGGGGGCCACAGGACTATTTTTCTATAATAACTTTTTGGTGCACAGTAATTTTTTCTTGTAATTTAATCAGCCGGGAGCTGCCTCCTGAGCCTGTTTTTAATTTAATGGATGTGGATATAACGCTAGAGAGACTGAGTTATTAAATGTTCAGAACTATGCAAACCAGCTCCGCTGCCTGTGCTCTGTGTGCCGCGACCCCGGGTGGCCCTGGCCGGGACGGGCAGCCTGTCCCCAGGGGCAGGAGGGCGCAGGGCCTGCGGGGTGCCCGGATCTGCTCTGCGGCCACAGGAGGGGGCCTGGGGCCCTGCCTGCAGCCATGCCTGCAGCCGGGGTGGGGGCACCTTGCTGGGGTGCGTGCCTGCTGTGCAGGCAGGGAGCCCTCGCTGC